TCGAGAAAGAGGAGACGGTAAGTGACGCCTTTAAAAGTTTTGTTTCAAACAGGTGTTTCATAAACCGGTTGTCGGCTTGTTTTTACCCTGGTAACGATGAACACTATCGATTACTCACGGTTCTTGACCGAAAATGATTCATGTTTTGACAGTTTTCTTCTTGGCATTGCTTTCGCTTATCGGAAGATTAACCTTTTTAGTTTCTCTGTTCGTTGGTGTGATTTTCTTTCGCTCGTTTAAAGTGTGTCGTTATTTTATTGAGTTCATTGCGTGAGCGCGTGTTTCCTATTTTGTCCGCGGAAACTTGTACTGTTGAATTCACCAGCAATGGGCGGGGCTTCGACACGCAAACACACACAGTTACAAACACACTCTTATTAGTTGCCTCAAAACCTGTTTAGACATTGAAACCACGCTACTGCTAGTTTTACACGCGAAATAGTACATTATGTAGTTTCTTTTTCTTTTACATACAGGTATTTTTTTTTGCAAGTGAGTAATGTCATCATCATGAGTAGGTTTTTATTGTATTTGTGAGATTATTGTTAGAAATATTGATACCCTCACAATTATAGAGAAACCATACTCCAAAAATATATATTTTTAATTATATGTATGTATATCCACAAAAATCAATATGCAAAATAAATAAATAAAAAATGGCGAAAAATATATTTGCTAATATATGATTCAAAATATATTTACATAAACATTTATTTTTAAAAACATTTTAAAAATATAAATTTATTTTTCAAAAGCATTTAAAATAGTATTTTGCCCTCCATATATTTCAATCCAAGAAATTATATTCACATGTCACATTTGGGGGGATTTCTTTTTTTTTTTTAGGCTATTCCATCCACATTTGCATTTATCCTAAATGTATGATACTGTAAGATTGGGGGAAAAAAATATTGTCTTGCCTCTGAAATGTGTTTTAAATGTTTAAATTTCAAAAATATAATTAATTTATCTCAGTTTTCCAACATATATTTACCATATACTGTATTTGAAATATATATTGGCCAGAATTAATTTATTTTTTGTTGTTGTTTTTTTTTTTACAAATGGTCAAGTACACATATAAATGTTCTGTATCTGATAAATGTAGTTTTGGTGACCAAAATGCATATTTAAGGTGTGCAAGAAATTTATCAAGAATAACCTACTGAAAATGTTATGATTATTTACTTTTCATTTGTGTGTGTTTAGGTGGAGAAAAATGGACTTGGCCCATCATGGTCTTGTTCTCCTTAAGCGCCTCAATGCTCAGAGAGAGTTTGGTTTCCTCTGTGACTGTATTGTGGCCATTGGGGATGTTCTTTTCAAAGCCCACAAAGCTGTTCTTGCAGCATTCTCAAACTACTTCCGTATGCTGTTTATCCATCAAGACAGGTACCACAAGCGCCACTGCAAAAAAGTTCTTCATTCACATTTGCAGTACTTTATTAAATTATTCTTTATGGTTATTTTTTGCAGTGACTGTGTTCGACTGAAGCCTTCAGACATACAAGCAGATATTTTCAGCTACTTGCTTAACTTAATGTACACTGGAAAATTCACCTCACAGCCCATTGACCCTCTTCGCCTTGAGCAGGGCGTAAAATTCCTGCATGCTTACCCTTTATTACAGGAGGCAAGTCTTCTTATAAACCCTGAGTCCCAGTATGTACCTTTGACAAACTCACTTTATGGCATACAGATACCTGATCAGACATACAGCCGGCCTGAAAGAAATACAGCATGCAAGGATGGTGCTAAAAATGGTGAAAACGTTAGCCGAGAATTTTTGGAAGTTTCTGATATGGATTATAGATCTCCACAACCCGTTGGCATAGAGACACCCACCCAAAACCCAGCAGCCACAATGGTCCACCACCTCACATTTGGCATAATGAATAAGAGTGCTTCCTCCCGAAAGCATTACACCTGCAATTACTGTGGAATCCGTTTTAACCAGAGGTGCAAGTTGAAGGAACATCTCCTCGTCCACACCAACCAAGCAACTGAGCCACAGGTGTTGTCTATGCAAAATGGTCACACTATTGAGCTTGAAGTTCAGGATATGGAAGAGGACCATTTGCGTGCTGACAGTGATGTTATTAGTGATACCGATCAACAGGTGTGGATGGAAGACACCTCGCCGCCCTCTGAAATTGCTGATATAGACAACTTGGAGGGCACCGAGATGGGTCGTGAAATGAAACGCCGAAAATTCGAGTGTCCAACCTGTGCTCGCAAGTTTATTCAGAAGAGCCACTGGCGTGAGCACATGTACATTCACACTGGAAAGCCATATAAGTGTAGTGCTTGCGGAAAGAACTTCTGCAGAGCCAATCAAGCTGCTCGACACGTTTGTTTGAGTCAGGACACAGACTCGTACATTATGGTCAACAAGCAGAGTTTGGTTCTGTGTGGTGGAGAAGACAACAGTCAGGTAGAAGCTCTCTTCCAGTCTTCGGAAAGACCCTATAAATGTAGCATGTGCGCAGCACATTTTGCAAGTCTTTCTGAGGTTCCCAAACATCAGTGTTTGACTGAGAGTGAAGCGGTACCATTGGCAGAAAATTCACTAGGGGAAAATCAAAAGAAGGACTTCGAGACAACTACTCCTGAAGTAACCATTCTTTCTTAAAATGTCAAATGTCTAAAGCAGTATTAGTTTATTTCAGTGCCAGTATTTAACCATTTTCATGTGTTTGTTATAAACTGAGAGAGAATTACGTTTTTTTTTTTTTAAAGGTCCACTGCATTATTTTACATTTTTTTTTCTATAGGTAGGTCATTTGTGAATATATTTGAAACTAATAAACTGCAAATACTATATTTAATGTTTCCCATCAGAAACACTTCTGAGTTGCCTCTTTAAAGTATCTTACATTGCACAAAGTAGAAAATAAGCATTTTATCAATTTGACTTTCATCCATTCTTCAAATGAAATAACAATGGTATTGGTGTGCTGGACATCAACTTTTCATAAATCACAAGTCAAAAATGGGTAGTTTCTTTTATTTAAATAAAACCTGAAATTATAATTTGTATTAAACCATACATTTTTAAATGTCTCAAAATCCAGGAACAATACTACACTTGTATTTAATTGATTGTTAATATTGCAATTTCTTCAAAGATGCATAGTCTGTATAATCAGTCTGTACAGATGGTTTCAAACACTTAGCAATATATTAGAATAAGTTACAATTTTGATTTCAATACTGCAATGGCTTATTTTATCAGGCCAGATGCACATGCCCTTAAAACAGGCAAGGCAGCTTGTATAATAACAAAAATGCTAAACTGTTTAATGATAATATGCAGTACTACAAAGTGTATTGATCATTACGCAGAACATTTATATATGTTAAGTGCTCCTCTGGGGGGAAAAACACACATGGGGAAAAGCCAGTAATTCCAACATTAGTTTGCATGCTTAAATTTTTATGGCAAAACTTTAGTCAAATATTTTCTGTAAATTAAAATGGCAAATTACAAAAATAATTTGTAACTGTTATATGGCAACAAAAATAAATCATGAGTTTGATAAGATTTTGACTGTTCTTTGTAAAACAAATTAAAACAATCTGTCATTTTCAGTCATTGACTACATCTGACTGAATTCTGTCTAAACCTCTCTTTGATAGAGCATTATTGTGATTTGCTCATTATAGCTTTGGTAAAGTGTACATCATATTTAGAGTATAAAATAAATTCCTTCTTGATGTATATCATATGTAGAGGCATATGGTGGTTCAAAACAAAATTACCTTTGATTTAGTACATATCTTTAAATACCAGGCATTGCATGTCCTTCCACAATGACAATTATTTTCTTATGCTAAACATGGCAAACGGTCAGGATATAATGCATGTGTACAAATGTTTTATATTTTAACATTTTAACCTTTTGTTTTAGATATGTAATACAACATGATATAATGTGGCATTAACTTACGCTGATGTCTGAATCAGGATAAAAAATTCATACATTGACAAATATCCTTAGTAAAAATATGACAAAATAGCTGCTTTTGAAGGGTTACATATGTTGAAATATTTTCTGCATCAAAGTAAAATGTAGTGATTGGTCAAAGAACAGCCTGTCCACTGAATAACTACTGTTTTTGGTTTCAGTTTTGCTTAATGGAACTTTAATGATCCAATTTTACTTCTCAGTGGTTCGGTCATTTCTTTGTTGAGAGTCCCAGCTGATTTTGTGCTGAGCACAGCCTCTTCCAGGTGTAAAATGTTCTGAATTTTCCTTGGTAAACTTGCACCTGAAATGATCAAATCAGTGTTATGAATGTTATGAATCTGACAACAAAAATGACTGATAACTGAATGCAATATTATAAAATCACTTACCAACTCATTCAAATCTTTCAACTGGTTTAGCACGCCACTATCAAATTGCAGCATCAGATGCTTGTTTAGCAGCAGTATCTTGGGGTGCACCCTCTGTGTATGTCATCTGGCACGGGGAATCTCCGATATTATCTACAGCATCCTCCCACACATCCTCCTCTACCTCTGACTGAGGTTCTGTTGAAGTAACCACAGGCTCATGCTGCAAGGAAGCCTTCCTATTTTCTTCATCTGATACGCACTCTTCAGTTAAAACTGATGTCTTTACCTCTTTCGCAACCACAAATGGTGGTTCAACATCTTTAGACACAACTGAAGCTTCTGTCTTTGGTTCCTTTTTCTCCTGTTCAACTACCTGCAACATTGCTTTCTTTACTTCTGGTGTCACAACAGGTGGAGCTACAACTGGGGTAATAGCTGGTGTCATCATCACAGGGGCTACTGTAGTCACAGCGGGTGCCTCCATCCCAGTCACAACTGATGTTGCCTTTACCAAGGGCATGGCTGATGTTGTTGGTGTCTGTGCTACCTGCTTTGCAACTGGTGTTTGTACTGCTGGGATCACAGAAGGTGCTTCTGGTACTGGAACTGGTGTCTCTGCCACTGCCACTGGTACTGTTGGGCTCACAACTGATGTTTCTGGAATTACTGGAGGTGCAGCCTCTTTTGCAATCACTGAAACCAGAGCTGGTGTCTGTACCACTGGGATCATAACAGGTCTCTCTGCCATTGCAATTGCAGTTGGCGCTTCTGCGGTAGTTTCTATTACTAGGCTCACAACTGACCTTTCCGCTATTGGAATCACAGTTGGTGTCATCATCACTGGGGTTACAACTGGTGTCTCTGACACAACAACTGGAGTTGGAGTTTCCACTACTGGGATCACAGCAGGTGTTTCTGCTGCTGCAGTCACTGTTGAAACAACTACTGGAGGTGCAGCCTCTGTTACTGCCACTAAAACCTGACATGGTGTCTGTGCCACTGGAGTCAAAACTGGTGTCTCAACCACTGCAACTGGTGCTGGCTTTACTACTGGACTTTCTACTACTGGGATCATAACAGGTGTTTCTACTGTTTCAGCCACTGCTGAAACAGCTACTGGAGGTGCAATCTCTGTTACCATCACTGAAACCTGACCTGGTGTCTGTACCACTGGGGTCATCACTGGTGTCTCAACCACTGCAACTGCAGTTGACTTTACAACAGGTGTTTCTACTACTGGGATCACAACAGGTGTTTCTACTGTTGCAGTCACTGCAGAAACAACTACTGGAGGGGCAGTTTCTGTTACCATAACTGAAACCTGGCCTGGTGTTTGTACCACTGGGGTCACAACTGGTGTCTCAACCACTGCAACTGGAGTTGACCTTACAACGGGAGTTTCTAGTACTGGGATCTCAACAGGTGTTTCTACCTCTGCAGTCTCTGCTGAAACAACTGCTGGAAGGGCAGTTTCTGTTACCATCACTGAAAACTGACCTGGTGTCTGTACCACTGGGGTCACAACTGGAGTCTCATCCACTGCAACTGGAGATGACTTTACAACAGGAGTTTCTACAGCTGGGATCACAGCTGATGTTTCTGATGCTGCAGTTGCTGGTGGTGTAACTGGAGGTCCTGCATCTGTTGCAATTATTGAAATCTGAGCTGGTGTTTGTACCACTAGTGTCACAAGTGATGTCTCTACAGTTGAAGTTACTACTGAAGTTTCTACTTCTGGGATCATAATTGTTTCTGGTTCTACTGGAGTTCCAGCCGATGTAACTACTACAGGAGATACAGCTTCTGCTTCTGCTACTGTCACTGAAATCATAGCTGGTATCTCAGTGACTGGTGTCTTTGCCACTGCAGGTACAGTTGGTTTTACTGATGTGATGGAAACAATGGGAGTTTCAATTACTTGGCTCACAGGTGTTTCTGCAAATGGGGTCACATCTATTGTAACCTCTTCTGGAGGTACATTCTCTGCCACTGAAACAACAGCTGGAGTCTGCACAACAGATGTTACTGTGGCTGGGATTTCTACTACAGGTGAAACAGCTGTTTTCTCTACCACAGCTGGAGTTGATTTTACTGATGTGACAGAAAAAACAGGTGTTTCTACAACTGTGCTCAAAACTGTTGCTTCTGCTACTGTAGTCACTGTTGCTGTACTTATTACTGGAAATGCAGCTTCTATTACTATTACTGAACCAAGATCTGGTGTTGCTACCACTGGAATCACATTCTGTATCTCTACTGCTGGGGCCACAGCAGTCCTCACAATCACTGATTCAACATTTGGTGTTTCTACTGCTTCAGTCACAGCAGGTGTGTCTTTTACTGGAGGTACATCCTTTGACTCATTGCCTAGAGTTACAACGGGTGTTTCATCTAGAGGTGTAGCTGGTGTCACTACCACAGAAACAACAGTGGGAATCTCCACCACTTGTTCTTTGATCACTGTTGTCAACACTGATGTGTCAGTATCTATGTTTTGATTTTGTGACGCAACAGCAGAATTGAGAGTATCAGTTGTTTTTGCCATAGATGTAAACTCTGCTGTTTCTACTTCAAGTTCTGTAACCACTGATGTGACAACTGGTGTCTCCACTTGCAGTTCAGTTACTACAGCTGTCTCTACTTTCACTTCTGTTACCACTGGAATTTCTACCGTTGGTTCTGTCACTTCAAGCGTCTCAGCCCTGAGTTCACTCACTACTTGTGTTTGTATCTCAGAAACAGCAACTTCTGGCATTTCTGATGCAACTTCAGAGGTCAGTGGTGATACCTGTGCAATGGGGGTTATTTCCATTACTGCTGGTATTTCATCTTTAATTTCGGTCTTGTCTACCTGCAACTCATTTGACTTCTTTTCTGTTACCTGTTCAAGAGGTTCACATTTTAGCCTAGCGTTTTCATCTGCTTCATTGTTCTGTTCGCTCATATTACTAACCTCTATTTCTGTAGCAGTATAATTTTGTGCCAGCACTGTGATTGCAGCCACTTCAATCATAGTCGGCCCCAAATCAAACCCTTCAGGTTCTGGTTTGGGAGCAACAGCCATTGTATGTTTTTTTTCTGGAACTGCCATATCTTTCATTTCTGATGATGTCATTGCTGGGGCCTGGTCACCATCTATTGCTTCACCCTCTTGTTCTGTTGCCTCTGGTAGCTTAGATTTTTCGAGTACCTGTGTAACAGGTTCAGACTCTATAGGCTTCTCTTTACCAGACTGTTTTGTTGTGTTCTCTATAATGGCAACCATCTCTAAAACTTTACCAGTCTTAATATTCTCAATTGTCACTGGTTGTGCATTCTCTTTGGGAATCTCTGGACTTGGTTTGGTATCTTGACTCCAGTCTTCTGTTTGAGAAACCACAATTTCTGTTGCTAAAGGTTTTGCTTCTACTTCTGGCAACACCATCTCTAGAGGTTTCAGTATGACTTCAGAACTAGCTTCAAGCTTGGCTGGTGTTTCTGTGCGCTCAGGTACATCTTTTGAAAACTCAGGAACAACTGTGCATTCTCTTATTTCATGAACCATGTCTCCATTTTCACTTCCCGCATCAACGATTATTTCAGGAGATTCATCAGTAGTATTTGTGTGAGCAGAAACCTCTTCATTCTCTGTTTCATTGCTTTCAGTGTTTGTTAAAGGTTGCCTTTCCTTTACTGCATGTTCCTCTTCCTCTTTCACAAATATCCCATCCATTCTGTCAGTTGCACTGCCTTTCACTTTGTTATCATCCAAATCTGTATCAATGTCTTCTTTATGGAGCTCTTCAGTCTCTTCAACTAATGCTGGTTCTGGAAGTGACACCTCCTTGGCTGGCAACTGTTCTCTGTCTAATGATTCATCTACAGCTTCTGAAGTATTTTCAACCTCAATATTTTCAACAACGTCTGAAGCAACAGCATCCCCAGTCTCTTCTTCTACATGTATTTCCTTAATGTCCAGCTGTGGCATTTTTTCATCATAATTTTCTTCTGTTTTCTCACTGATGTCCTCCACAGTCACCACTGAATCACCTGCTAATAAGACTCCATCTTTTACGTCAACTTTTGTTTCACAGACATCAACGTGTACTGATTCAACTGCTTCTAATTTTAAACTCTCTTCTAAATCCAATGTCTCTGACTGTATGTGATCTGAAATTGGACTTACAATACTAACAGTCTCTTTGGTTTTCAGACACTCCACAGCAGAGGCAATGATTTCAATTGCTTTGACTTCTTTACTTGTGGTAGTGTCAGGAATGCTGTCTACATCACCATGTGTCAAAGACACAACTACTTCCGTGGGTGCAGCTTGCTCAAACTCAGCAGCTGACAATTCAACATCTAAGGGCGTCAGCTCTTTTTCAGGTTCAGCAGCTACTTGTCCTTCATACACAGGTTCCTCTAACACAGAATGCAGTGGACACTCTGTTTCAGGATCATGGGTGTAGTCTGATAAAACCTGATCCAGCCCAGCTTCACTTTGCATCGTCTCAATCACCTCTCTCCATTCAGTACTAGTTGTATGTTCCTCTTTTTTGTCTTCTATATGAGTTTCCTCTGATTCTTCCACAAGAGGCTCTGCCACTAATTGAATGATTTGCTCTGCGCTTAGCTCAGTTTCAGTGGCAGATTCTTTTTCATTTACAATTACTTTCTGATACTCAGTCTTCACTTCCTTAATTTCAGCTTCATAGACCTCATCTGTCCCAAGTCCTGCAGTTTCAGTTTCATCTGTAAAGTTATCAGAGACTAATTCAGTTGGGACAGCATCACATACTTCATGTATTGCCTCCACAAAGGGTACAGGGATATGTTCTTCAACAGATTCTATTTCTTGATATACTAGGCCTGTACATATTGGTGTTGCCTCAGTTTTCTTATGCGCAACCAAAACCTTTGTTTCCTCTGTTGTGGATGACTGTACAATATAAGGTGAAAATGACACGGCCAGAGATTCTTGGCTTTCATCTTTTGTAGTGACTGATTGAACACTTGGAGTCATGCAAATGGTTTGAAAAGCTTCCTGTAGGATCACATCTGATGTTTGTATGCCATATTCAGCTGACACTGGCGTAACATGTCCAGATGACCTGGGAGATTCAGTTAGTTGTGAGACTGCCGAGACCATTTCAGTAGTGTCATCCCCAATAAATTGTTCACTTGCTGGTTCTGGAGCAGTGACCGCATCAGCTGTCAACTCCACAATGTCCTCAGCTAAGGTGTCATCCTGTGTTTTCCACTCAGTAGATGATACTGGTGTTTCAATGCTTTCCTCATTGATGCCTTCTTCTGGAATATCACTCAGTTGCTGATGTTTGCTCACAAAGTCTGTAAGTTCTTCAAAGTCCTCTGATAATCCATGTATGACTGTTGGTCCAGTGTTAGTTGGAACTTTAGCTGCAATTTTGGGCACTAAGTTATTAGATGTGTCCTGTTCTAACACTTGTGAAGTCATCTCTGGCATCTCGTGTTCTATTGTGATTTCAACTCGTTGTTCATTCACCTCCTTCAGACTTTCAGGCTCAATTATTTCATACTCAGACAGAGGAATAATAGCTGGGGTTTCATCATCTTCATCACCTGTTTCATGATCCTTAGCACCCTCATCGGAGGATGTTTGGTCTTTCCTTGCATCTGATTTTCTCTTTTTATGCCCTGGAATAAGTTTCTTCATAGAAAATGATTCGTCTTTGTTCATCTCACTGTCTGAAGGTATCTGCTCAGGGGTACTACTTTCTCCAGTTCTGACCTTTCTCTTTGGGGTGACCATTTTTTTAAATGTTTTCCATGTGGATCCCATCTCTCCCTCTGCAGGACTTCCAGTTTGTTCATTAGATGATGTGAGATGATCATAATCACCCTCAATAGAACTTCCCAGTGGAGAGTCAGTTGTTTTCTCATATTCCTCTCCTTTGTCTGGCATTTCATCCTCATTTGTTTTTCTAGCCCTTTTTTTAGCAGAGCCACCACAAATCAGTGCCTCCCAGGAAACGGTGGTGTCAGATTTCTTTTTGGACTCTAGAGGGCTTACATCAGCCACCAGCTCCTCTTCAGCAGGTTTTGGTTCCCCAACCAGTGGTTCCTCGACTTTTGCAAGCGCTGTCAATTCCGAGGATGGTTTCGGCTGTTCAGAGACTTGTTCCTCAGCCTCAATCACCTTTTCTGCAGCTTTACTTTCTCTCTGCCTTCTTGTGGAAAATTTCCTGAAAAGTCTTTTAAGTGGACTTCCTTGTACCTTATCTTTCTCTAGAGAATTCTGAAGCTCTCCTTCAGGTAACAAGTCGTCATTATCCTTCTCCTGTGAATCTTTTTCTTCCTGTGAAGTAATATAAGGAATATCAAGGCACATACATTTACTGTCTTCTTTTTCTGCCTCTTCTAAACCCATTTTTTCAATTATTTTGAGTTCCTCTTCCTTACTCTCTTTTTGCATTTCCTCTTCTTTCTTTTTCTTTCTTAAACTGGCAAAGATTCCTTGTGTAAAGAATTGCTTGATTGGTGACATCGGTTCCTCCGGTTCAGGACTTGCTTCTTTTGCCAGTTCTTTCTCAGGTGTGTCCTCCACATGATGCTCCACTATCTTTATGTCCTGATCCAGCTCCTTTTCCTTTTCTGTTTGTTGAGAGGGTTCAGCTGCATCAGGCTGGGAAGATACCTCACTTTTTTGAGTCTCATCAGGTGTGTTTTCATCTGCTGCCACTGCACTGTTCTCCTGGGTGTCACTGGAGTCCTCTGAGAGACTTGTGACTTTTTCTTCTTGTTCATTTGCTTCAGTCTTTTCACATGTGTCTTTTTTTAGGGTAAGCTTAAATCCAACAAATCTGAAGATTTTTTTGAAGCCAACGTCATTGATATCATTCACTTGGTTGTCCTCCATAGCTTCTTCCTTCACAGTCACACTATCTGCATCAAGCATCTCTGTGCTCTCATTCTTCATGACTGGTTGAAGAGCATCCATTTCCTGGAGGTCTTCAATTGTTTCTGTGCCATTTTCTTTTAAAGTAACAAATCCTGAGCCAACTGACAAAAAATAAATAAGAATGAAATGTGCCAAGGTACGTGTGTGTGCTGTACACATAAAACATTTGTACATGGATATTTACTACTATATAAAAGTGCTGTTCTCATTTCATTTAGAAACAACGAGGGAAACAATGAAATGAATAACAATAATATAGTTTTACATACCATCTGCAAGTACTCTCTCCTCAAAGTTGCCATTTAATTCATCTGCATGGTTCCTTGTCTTTACATTCAAACTGGAGATCTGCCCGTTTTTCTGTAATAACTATATGGAAAAGACAGGACAAATTAAGGAGTGACTAACAAAGTAAATTATACTTTATAAATTATTTGTCATTAAATCACTGTAGCTCTTAACTATACATATTATCTATATGCTATTTTAGGCAAGTGAGTTGGAGTTGGATTCAAGTTAAGAAATTCCCCAAACATTTTACAAAAGTTATGACAATATCACATTTTCTGAATGTTAAGTACCGCAATGTAGTTTGAAGGAGATGGCCCTTGGGATAACTAACGAAACAAAATAACTGAACACATTTATGGAAGTCGAGTATCAGATAGCTCTCCTTTGACTAAAAGCCATCTCACAGACTTCCTGTTAAACTATGGCTGAACTCATCATGTTTTACATGGAAAATCAATGCACCCAGTGCAGTAAGGGAGAATTCCATCAATCCTTTGGGAATAAAAGTACTACAAATATCCATCCATTAATGTGCACACATAAGTCCAAAACAACTGACAAACCTAAATGCTGAAAGGAGATGGAATTGTGATATGTTGACATAAACCGAAATTGCATTTTAAATTCTTAACCTACACATTTAATCCAATAAAAGAATTCAGGTGAACAAGAAAACAAACATCAAAGGACAAACCAGAAATTCAACCCACATGATAAGAAGCAGTTTAGTAGCGATGAAACACTTTTAAATCTAAACTAAAGTTTGAAAAAAAGATATCATATTCTTTGCCAGCCACTGAGGATGCATCAGTTATCAGTGTTATTGATTTATTCTGCCTGCAATATTAACACTTGGCAGAGGACTTGCATGTGTGACTTTATCCAAGTATGTCGACTTCTGAAATTCTCATGCCACAAACTGTCAGATTCTGCCTTAATGCCTTAATTAATACCAGGCAAAATAATGTCTGTATGTCCTATACAATTTTCTTGAATTCACTACAGAGATGAATTAAAACAAATATTTTTTGAAATATAAAATTAATGCAAATTAAATAATGCGCTCTCTTATTAACTAAACTATCTAATCTGAACTACCAGAACCTAATGCATATTTTGTTCATACAATGAATTTAGGTCAAACACCTATAAATAGGACAAAGTCACCTAATCTTCTTTTGACTCCCATTACTGCAGTTAAATAGCTGCAAATGATAGTCGGGATGTTGCATTATGGACATTCCTGATAAATTTTCTACACCAAGCAAAACAAACAAAACCCAAAGTTGTACATAAAATAAACATTATTTGAGTAGGATTCACAACAAAATATTATTTCAGTCTTTCTACTTAAAAATGTCATGTTTAATGGTGTGTTACTTGCTATTTCTATGCAATTATTTGTGATATTTACTAGCCATTTCTGAGTGAAAATTGTTGCAAAGTAAAATTTAAGTGTATTGCTTCTGAAAATTGTATTGCTCCTGTAAATAAGACTAGTAAATTCACTTTCCTCTCTACAGTTTCACAACTGTGCTCAGATTTGCCAAAGCACCAAAGTCCACACTATTTTATAACTCTATACATTTACTCTGTAAACAATTGTCTAATTTACTTATCCAAAGGAAAAACGCCTGATAGATAAACAAAACAAAACTAAGAAATCCCTTCTCCTGAGCTAAAAAGAGCAACCTCTGACTAATAAATCGTTCCTGTCTACAACATTTTGAGCATCATATGCATGTTCTGCATTGGCGCAAAAATGCTGTCTAGATAGGCAGCACACTACGTTTTGAGATACAGCCCGTGCGTATCCTTGGATTCAGAGCTCGTGTCTTTGAAACTTTGTGAGGCGTTTCTCTGCAGCAGGAGGCTGGTTACATGCGTTCTACCTTGTCATCAGCACTGCCGTCATCCTGAGCATCGCTCGCCGCTGCAGTGAGCTCCTCCGCCGCTGCGTCCTCCTCACATCTGCTGTCCCGTTGCGCGGATGATGCCGTAGCTCCCATTTCACAATCCTTCTCTCGTTCTCTTCGGTTTCTTCCCTTTCACCCGATGTAACTGCAAAGCGAAAGGGGGAATATCCGAAGATGAGTGCTGAGCGGTGATCGGACTCAGAAGTGATGCATTTGGGCTCGATGCAAACTCTTTTAGGACACATCCTTCCTGCATCACATGAACACACTGGCACGCCTCGGCGCATCAATGGGAGAGAATGAGAGTCCTGGGCTGGGATGACCGAGGGACAGCCTCTACAACGTTTTTATCCCCTAATTATGCTTCTATATTAATCGAATGTGTTTATGTATAGGCCAATGATTGCATTAAGGCACTCAAAATATAGCTTATATTGTGTGTGGAATAACTATATTTGTACTTAAAAAAATAAATAAAAGACAAACGCTAATTTCAAAGTTGAAAACATGATGTACAGATCTCATGTTCTCACGGGACTTAATTATACTCCAAAACAATGCATTTTGTGATGAAATATTTATATTTAAAGCAGTTAAACTGTCAAATGGTTTATTATTTTAATGTAATTTAAAGGTCCCATATTGTCAAAACTGAAATTTCCTGGCTTTTTTCATGATAACTGAGGTCTAGGTGCTATATGTAACTACCATATAAGTTTCAAAACAGTCCAGCCTGGTCTCATGTTTATACGTAGGTATTAATACGTAACATTTACAAGCACAAAACGTACACTTTTGTACGTTTTTATTAATGCTAAAACGTACAATTTAGACGTATTTCAACGTTTAAAACGTACAAATCGCTACGTATTTTTAGCTAAAAAACGTAAAAATATTTACGTATCTTTTGTATCATTAAGATATTCGTATCAATGCATTTTTTTCATTTTATCAATAAGCGATTTAGATTTTTAGACCCCTTAACCTAACCCCAAACCTTAACCTACCCATTTTATAGCGAATATAAGGATATAAAACGCAAATGACCGAAATATGCAGGAAAATAACCATTTTAGTAACAATGTAGCATTAAAAAAAATGTATAGTCGCTAATTCCACTCCTACCTATAAACCTAAACATTTCTGTACAGTATAAGAAAAACATGACAGACAGATAAATGCAATTACAATCATTTATTTATTGCAAAAATATCAAAAGCAGTACCAAAAGTAATCCAAATAATTATGCGTTGCACCCGCAGTCCTCTCTGGCAGAATACAGTAGGTTTGTGTGATCCAGAGCAGAATTTATGTTGTTAATCGCTGAAAATATTATCCAGATAATTTTCCCAATCCACTCCGTGCGTGAACTCGTGAAGGAACGCGCGGCGCATCATTCAAACACACCTCACCAGAAACACGGCATGTCGCAATCTGTGACGAATGCAGGCGAGAGCCAATGAGCGTTCGATTATCCTGCCGTAAAACCTGTCGTTTGAAGCGGCAACATTTGAATTTGTAAAGAGCGCGTCAGCGTGGGGTTTGCTGCTCACGGTCACTGGACTCGCTGCTCGAGATGGAGAAGAAGATCGCCGAATAAAGGCTTGGATTTGGGTCTGTTCCTCGCAGTCGTATGGATTCGGAAGATTTGGATTACAGCACACTAATAAAATTGTTTCATTTCGTAATTATGTTGTGTTTTTGGCGTATTTTATAGTTCTGTTGTCAGTCACAGCATGTCGGAGAAAATGCCTTTTGTGGC